GGAAGGCCTCAAGCCTTTGAAGTAATAATTTTTTAGGGTTAATTGGTGATTTGCCCATGAACTTGTAGATAATTTTCAAGGAGTTTTAGTTGTTTTTATCCCCCGAACTATCACCCCAATCGAACTTCACTACCCTAACTAATTTTTCAACCAATTTAGCATCTGGATAAATAGTCAATTTAGCCTTACCGTCAAAATTTTCAAAGACTTCAGGAAAAGGTGGAGTATCATATGGATTGGAGAGAGAGAGAGAGAGAGAGAGAGAGAAGGTTTCGGCTGAATCATTCCACACATTGTCAACACTTTTGGAATTTCTGAGATTGGAGCTAGAGAAAGGAGAGCAAAGGTGCAACCAAGCAAGAAAGAGGCTACCAAATAGGAGAAGAAGTCACTCCATCGTTGAAGACCTTGTGCTTTCATCTTCTTCAAAAATTTGTAAACGCTTCCTAATTGTATTTGAAGTTGTGTTTACTATGAGCATGAGGAGCTAAACTCCATAGCTAGGGCTTAGGTTGAAGCCCAAAACATGATTACTCTATTGTTTTGATGCTTGAGTTTATAAATTTCTAGATGTTGTTGATGAATTCCCATTCACTTAAATAATCTATCATTGATATATGTTTTTCTTTGATTGATCACTTTTGAAAGCATGCTTCTTAAGATTGTTGGGATTATATGTACCCTCATGTTTTCCTAAGCAACAAATAGATGAAGTAAGAATTATCCATGTGAATTGATTTCTTGAATGCCTAATGTAAACATCATACTATTAGGGTTCTTGTGATGTTCATATTCTCTTTGAACTTAATGGGTTTTCTATGTAATTAAATCAAAGTATTAAGCATACCTAGATTGATATATTATATGGAAAGCACGAGTATTATAGCACTAGACCCGTAGTTTACTTATACTAGAGAGAATCAATGCATCTTGAGCCAATAGACCCAGTCTTGATTGCGAACATCTTCATCAACACATTTAGAGTTCATAACTTGAGTAGGATGGTTTAGAGTGGATTCCGAAAACCCTAGTGTTTCTCACCATTGTAAGCCACATTTTGATATTCATTTTTTTATCAATGTTGTTAAAATTTGAGTTTGGTTACATTTTAAGCATTAAAATTAGTTCATTTGAATCAAACCCCACCCCCCCCTGTTTGTGTGTGTGTTGTTTGAAGCGTTGTGTGTTTGTTTCTACTAAATTTTGCTCACTTTTGTATCTATTTTTGATATTTGGCCTGCATTAGGTTCTTTATTTTTCTATACTGAATCCCACCATATAAAGAACATAAAATTTGGATTAACGGTGGGAAAGTTATAGGTCCAAAATGGGACAGAGGTCAAAAATTGGAAAACAAAGGAAGTTCATAAATTTGTCTCTTGCTAAAATGTGATAAACTGGTGATACATAGCAGTGGTGATACAACGATGATAAAGGGGTGATAGAAAGTGCTAATTGTGTTTATCTTTGGGTTCTTGTTTTGTTTCATTTCTTTTACTTTTCTTTACTCATTCCTAGTTTCCAATTTGTATTTTACATTTGTGTTTTGTTAAATAAGTGTTCTTTATGTACTCAAACTACAACTTTGTATAGGCCGACAGTTCCTCGTAGGATCGGCCCCGTACTTACAAGTCTATACCCCAATAGATTCGTACACTTGTGGGTATTTATAATTGGATGATTAGCACAATAATTTGTGTCAATTATTAATACTACAGTGTGAGGATACATTGTCACATTATGTTATTAGTTTGAGTATGACAACATGAGTAGACGACATAGGTAATATGTCATGACACAAGATATATCATTAATAAATAGATATACATTTACAATACTAATACATATTATAATATGAGTAAAATAATAAAGCATCCTATTGTTGGGGTGTAAATAGGGTATATCCTACTTTTACATCCCTAGCAGCTGAAAAACACTCCAACCTAAAGGTGTATATGGATATATATATATACACACAAACGACCTAAAGGTGTATATGAATGTAGATATACACAAACGGCCTGAAATACGAAAATTGATCCACATTTACTACATAAGAAAATGATAAGAGAGGAAAGCTAGTGGTTCCTATCACCAAGTATTAAAGCCACTTATCATACTAATTATAAGATATATCCATATACTAAATATGTATTAATTAGATAAATAATTATACAAATTTAAAATCCTATCACCGAGTATTATGGGTGACGTTGGCAACTAGTAGTTCCAAGTTCGGCTAGCATGAGAACACTCGAGGTTTTATGGTTAGAGCGAAGTCAACCTTGGAACTCACACGGAATTTGAGGCAAAAGGAAGCTTTGGGATTAGTGATCGAGGAAGAAACCACCAGGCCATATCAGACATGCAAGGAATTTGAGGAGTGGGATATTTTGAGTCGAGCTTGCCTGAGCTGCATTTTCTTCTCAAAATAGAAGGGGCAGTTTTAGAAACAAAGACATCAAACACAAATCAAAAAACAAGTTGAAACATTGCTCAAATCAAATTATGTTGTATTTTTCTTAGAACTTTCAAGTAATCATATCAACAAGTTATTTGTTCATCAAATTTCTTAAGCACTATCCATTGTAAACAATCATCCAGTATATTGTTGGGTTCATTTTTATACATGATTTATCATGTCATTTACCCAATGTTTTGAGTTAATTCTTGAAAATTTATAGATTTATACTTCTTTTTGTGTTTTTGTAAGTTTTACCTTAGTTGGAAGAAATATGAGCTAAAAGTGTATTATTGAATATAAATTTTATTTTTGCTCATTTTCGTAGGTCAACTTCTTGGCCTTGGATAAGCATGCTCCAATGCTCAGATAAGGTGAAAATCTTCATGAAACTTGTTCCAATGGATGTTAAATACAACATATCCGAATTTGAGCTTCATTGAACAAGTATAGCCCGGCCTACCAATCTAGCATTAATCCTAACTCTGGAATTGTGGTTTGGACGACATTTACCTCCATTGGATGTCACCCTCCCTTTTCTACTTGTTACCACACCATTGGTAACAATGTGTTACCTAGGTGATTTGGGATCTCATTCTAGCTATTTGGATCACTCTTAAGGTGTTAAAATTCAAAGAAATGAGCAAAAGGGCAGCAGGCAAGCAAGGAGGCTACGAAGGAGGAGAACTGTTCCACCATTAAATGCTTTTGTGCCTTCATCTCTACAAAATCTGTAAACTCTTTCTAGTTATATTTTGAATATGTGTTTGTAATAAGTATGAGGAACTAAACTCCATAGCTATGGCTTAGGTTGAAGCCCTAAACATGAATACTCTATTATTTTGATCCTTGAGTTTATGGATTTCTAGATGTTGTTGATGAATTCCTCTTCACTAAATTAATCTATCATTGATGTATGTTTCTTTGATTAATCACCCTTGAAACCATGCTTCTTGAGATTGTTGGGATTATATATATCTTTATATTTTCCTAAGAAACTCATGGATGAAGTAAGAATCATTCATGAATTGGTTTCTTGATAATGCCTAATGTAAACCCCATACTATTAGTGTTCTTGTGATGTTCATATTCTTTTCAAACTTAATGGGTTTCCTTATATGATTAAATCGAAGTACTAAACACACCTAGATTGATTGTGTAGGAAACACAAGTATTGTAGCACTAAACACGCAGTTTACTTATCTTAGAGAGAATCAATGTGTCTTAAGTCACTAAACCCGGTCTTGATTGCAAACATCTTCATCAATGTGTCTAGAATTCATTACTTGAGTGTTCATAAATATGAGTAGGATTGTTTAGGGTGGATTCCGAAAACCCTATTTGTTTGGGCCAAAATTCTGCACGCCAGCCCATTTTTTGCCAAAAGGCCCATGGACAAAACATTTTGGGTTTTTCATCTATATGAATTAGAGGTCAAAACCAAGAAACTGAAAAGCCCAGACCTTTTTAAACAAATTACAAATATAGCCGTGATCTAAAGAATAAAGTACTATTATTGGCAATTAAAAAAATTGACACACAGTTTTGGATAAAAGCCCAGCTTCTAAGAAATTCTCACCACTTGGTCTCTATCCCAAAAAGGCAAAACAACAGATCTTTTTCTCAAGAAAGCCCCCACGTGATTTTCTAACTTTGGAAAAGTCAAAATTTTCAACTATCATAGAGGAGTTGATAGGGAGGTAGTAAATGCAGGTCTTACAGGAGGACATCTCCATTTTTCTACAACCAGGGAAAAAAGATCAAATCCCCTTTTTACATACAGAGAAGCTCTGCACCAAAGAAGGTTACCTTTCCAAGAGATAAGATAAGCAGGCTACGTTTTCAAGAGATAAGTAGGGAGCAAGGGAGTTGTTCATCAGGAAAAGCAAACTGACCATCATGGCAGATTGTGTGTTTTTTACAAGGAACAAACAGAGAACAAGAAGAGCTGGTTTTCTTTCAAAAAGCAAGGAAAAAACCTCCATGAAAACTGATTGTTGATGGTTTTTTTCTGTAAGAATAATAAACTTCCCTCTTTTATGGCATTAAGAAAAAAGAAAAGATCTTTTGAAAGATCTGCCGCCCATTATTAAAAATTAAAAACCCCACTCCAGCATTTCCTATAAATATGAGAAAAGGTGAACAGATCAAGGGTAGCCAAAAAAATCAATCAAGACAAAAACTCTCAAAGTCACAACTGACAAACTCAAGAAGATCAACTGATCTCAAAAGCTTTCAGACCCTAAAGCAACGAAAGCTATTTGATCCACAAGAAACAAATCAGCTAGAATTCAAATATCTGGTTTCAGTTCAGTTTAGAGAAACAGTTTTACAAAGTGAGATTTTTCTCGTTACAAATTTGGTTCAACACAAAACCACGTCAAGCAGAGTCCGGGTTTTTACAAATACGAAAACCTCAACAAATTTACAGAAAGCCTTAGTCAAGCAGAACAGGTACTTTAGTATAGCTCCAGCTCAGTGACCATCAATCCAGCCACTTCTGTCCTCTCTAGACTAAAGAGGTCTCAATTCTGCCCGTTCAACAAGCCTTCCATGGCTCAGAATAAATTGAAGCTCTACCAAACTCAAATGTTGGTATCGATTTCCAGCTGAAACTCATTAGTTGAACGTGTTGACGATTTAAGCCAGCATAGACACATCCAATCCAGCCCAGTTCAGAGGCAGCTACCCAGGCAGAAATTGAAGTCCAATGTTCTGCTGCCTTTTTCGGAGTTGCCATTTCGCTTTTGAGTCCTGTAATAGGCAGTTTTGCCTAAACGTTGTGTCTTCCCTCTTTTTATTTATTTTGGCAAGAACTACCAATTTTATACTGTGAAAAATTGTGAAGTCCTCACCAGTCTGAGGTAAGAAAAGAACTTACTTTGGAGATATTCCTCACCCCAAATTCACAATTGCTTGTTTAAAGAATCAGTAACTTGGGGCGCAAGTTATCTATTTTTTAGAAGTCTGCTAGGGTTTTAAACTGCTAGCAGTAAAAACAAAAAAAAAAAAAAAAAAAAAAAAAAAATTGTTGACCACCACCATGGTTGTCAAGCCAATAGGAAACTTTTCCCTACCATCACAGGATTAAAATCAAAACGGGTGAACACTAGTGTTTGTTACATATTAATTTTACACTTTGATAATCACATAGTCTAAACTTGTTAAATTAGAGTTCGGTTACATTTTAAGCATTAGAATTAGTTCACTTGAATAAAAAAAAAACCCGCTTTGTTTTGTGTGTGTGTGTGTTGTTTGAAATCTTGATTGTTCTTTCCACTGAATTCTGCTCACTTTTGTATCTGTTTTTTATATTTGGTTCCCGATGAGTTATTCATTTTTTCATGCTGAATCCAACCATATAAAAACATAAATTGTGGATTAACGGTTGGAAAGATACAAGTCAAAAAACGGCACAGAGGTCGAAACTAGAAAATAGATGAAGTTCATAAATTCGTCTATGACATAAATGTGATAAACGGGTGATACCTAGTGTTTGGGCCTAAAAGAAATCCATGCACCAGCCCATCTTCACAGGAACAAGGCCCACAAAACAGAAAAGAACAGAGGATTGGGCTTTGATTCCGAAACGGGCCCAATCCACATCAGAGGCCCATATCTTTTACAAAGTGGCAGAATTGTAAAAAACACACAAAGCAAGTCAATAAAATTGCCAAATAAAAATGGAAAAATTGACCACCAAGTAGATCGTTAAAATTCTAAAGAAAAATTGGATTGGGCCCAGCTTCTAAATGCTCACCATTGATCTCAAAGCCCAGAGTACAAAGTCAGCAGACTTTTAAAAATCTATTCACAGAGAAACCCACATGACTACCTGACTTTGAAAAAGTCAACAATTTCAACTATCACAAGAGAGTTGATAAGGAGTTAATGAAGACTGGTCTTAAAAAGAGGAAAGAGGAAGATGTCTCCAGTCTTTTCAGTCAAAAGAAGATCAAAATCCTTTTCTATATAAATTCTGCATCAGGACAGGCATCATTTCCAAGGGATAAGCATACTACATTTTCTAAAGAGATAAGTAGGGTGCAGGGAGTTGTTCATCTAGAAAATCAAGCTAACCATCACGACATATTGAACTCTTAGGAGTGAAAAGTCAAAAAAGGATTAGGTTTTCTTTCAAAAAACAGAGGAGTGATCACCATAAAGAACTAACTGTTGATGGTTTGTTTGCCAGAATAGATAAAATTCCCATTTTCTTTGACATTTAAAATGAAAGATCTAGTTTTTAGAAAATCTGCCGCCCATTATTAAAAGAATAGAAATCCCACTCCAGCATTTTCTATAAATATGAGAGAAGGTGAACAGATTAAATGACAGCTAAAAAATCAATCAAAAACAAAAAATTCAAAATGATCACTTGATCTAAAAAAACCTTCAAAACACTGAAGCAACCAAAGCGCATTGAGCCACAACAAACAAGTCAGCTAGAATTCAGAATCTCTAGAGTTAGTTCAGTTTCAGAGAAATAGTCATACAAAGCGAGATTTCTCTCGTTACAAATTTGGTTCAGCTTAAGCCAAATCAAGCAGAGTTCAGGTTTTTACAAATATGAAAACCTCAACAAATTTATGGAGAGCCCTAATCAAGCAGAACATATACTATAGTGCAGTTCCAGCTCAGTAATCATCGAATCCAGCCACTTCTGCCCTCTGCAGAGTGAAGAGGTTCCAATTCTACCCGTTCAAAAATCCTTTCATGGCTTGAAATAGATTAAAGCTCTGCCAAACTCGAACGTTGGTATCGATTTTAGCTGAAACTTGACAGTTGAAGGTGTTGATAGTCCAATCCAGCATACAGGCCAGATCAAAAGTAGCTACCCAAGCAGAAATTGAAGTCCAAAATTCTTTTGTCCTTTTTTAGAGTTGGTCTTTCCTTTTTGAGCTTTGTAAAATGCAGTTCTGCCTGAAACAGTTTACTTTCTTGTCATTTATTCTGGCAAGAACTATCAGTTTTGTACTGTGAAAAATTGTGAAGTCCTCACCAATCTAAGGCAAAGAAAAGAACTTACTTGGGAGATATTCATCACCCAAATTCACAATCGCTTGTTTAGAAATTAGTAACTTGGGCGCAAATTATCTATTTTTAAGAAAGTCTGCTAGGGTTTTATTGCTAACAATGGCACGTTCACACACAAAAGAAAGTTGACTTGTTGAGCAGTCAATGGTTTTCAAGACAATGGGGAACTTTACCCTTCTATCACATGAACAAATATAAAACGGGTGAACACCTGGTGATAAAGTGGCGATACAATAATGATTCAAAATGTTGATTGTGTTTATCTTTGGTTTTTGTTTTGTTTCATTTCATTTACTTTTCTTTACTCATTTCTAGTATTCGATTTGCATTTTACCTTTATATTGTATTAAATAAGTGTTATTTACGTACTCAAACTATACCTCTGTATAAGCCTACAATATGCCAAATAAAGCAGTAGTTTTCCTAATTAGAAGCAATATCATTCATCCCTCTCAAAGTAAATTAAAAGAAGCATAAGCAATTTTTATGCATACCATTTTAATTGCTGAAGATATGACTTCTCGAGATTCTGCTGCTAGATCAAATTGTATGAAAAGCTGAAGTAAGAACAAAGAGAAATGTTTAAGAAAAATATATCCCAGGAGACGCATAATACATACATCCAAGAAACAAAGGCATGTCATATACTTGGATGAGAGAAGTACCATATCTTGTCTTAAAGATATATCCTTTCCAAAACAGTAACCAATGTGCTTTCTAGACCATATAATATCATAAGAAACATCGATGGAAATAGTAGATATGATAAAAAGTAAAACCAAATTGATATCACATATACCAATGACAAACATATGCAAAATCCCTCATAGGCTAGTTTCCTCCAGTTTTTATGCAAATCTGAATCCAAATGTCAAGTAAACAATTTCGCTTAAATTTAATGTAAAAAATCTACAATCCAGCAGCACTTCTACTACAAATAAACTCATTAACAAGAATTAACTAAGAGCCGCTCCTTTGCTCTCCAATTTCCCCAATTTTCCATATCTTTGTCTTTGAAACCTTAAATCATTGCTCCGTTGCTCAGTTTCAGAAAGATGTGTTCAAACATGAAATCAAAATCAGATTTTAATACAAATCATAAACAAAAGCAAAACAATAAGAGAATACAACAAATCTGAACCTCAGAGTAACAATCTTTTTCATGCGGCAAAACTAATCGAAATTGAAAGAGAAATCAAAATTGAACCTAAAATCAAGCTCTGCCTGAGTAACAAACGAAAACCTAGCTCGCTCTGATCTTGCGCTGGTCTCGCTCGCTCTGATTTTGCTCTGATCTCGCTCTATCTTTTATTTTTTTCCTCTATTTGATGCAGTACTCTCCTTGTTTTGAAAAAAAAAAAAAAAAAAAAAAAAAAAAAAAAAAAGGGAAAAAAGGGACGGGGGGTGTATCAAATAAGAGGAGGAAGGCTACCTTGGCATATATGTGTTCATGTTCGTCACTAATAACATAATTTAAGTTGTTTTCAGTGACTAATTTAAATACTGGTTAGAAAATTTAGTCATTAAAAATTAGATGCCAATCATTTTAGTGACCATATAGTATTATTAGTCATTAAATTTACTGTATTTTGTGACCAGTATTCATTTGGTCACAAGAAAATTGGTCACTACTAATCTCTTTTCTTGTAGTGAAGGGAATCTCCAACCATCATTATTTCACTGGGTTTAACTTCCCAAGCTGAACATATATGCAGTAGTGAAGCTGGATCCGGTTTGTACGGTCGAAATTCCCTGCTCAGAGCTGGAGAAAATGTCAACTGCAGCAACCATAACACAGAAAATAAGATATCAAAGTCCACTACTGAGTAGAAAGAACGTTAACAAGGGAGATGAGTCTCAAGATGGGTTGATTCAGTCAAAAAAGAAAGAAGGGATCTATCCTTGTTCTAATTCGATCTATCAGATGCTTGACTACTTTATGTTAGAGATGAAGGGAGCCTGCTATTCTGATGATTTTGAACATCCAGTTGGGTTGGGGACAGCATTCGTACTACAGGTACCATTTAGTGATCTAATGATTGTTGTTAGTTGCTTACACAACTTTGTAATTTTTTTTCTTTTTCTTTACTAAATTCAGGTCTTCCTAATGTAAGTGATCTAAGAGCCTCATCTGGCTTACATGCAACGGGTGTTGTGGTAGCTGCAGCTTGGACTTGACATTGAGAAAGTATGCCGAAGAAGCTCTGCATTTTCCAAGACAATTTGCCAGTTTGAATAAATAAATAGAGAGCAATAATTTTCTTGCAAGAAGACAAAACTGATTAAATTGTGCAACTAATAAATTGTTAAAGAGAAAGTGATTAAATTATACAACTTCCCCCAATTATGGAAAAATAATTTATTTGAAGATTCCTGAAGGTTGTCTGGTGTGTGCGATACAAGTGGTTGCACAAATATATATAATTGATGAGGAAGGTGGTCAGCAAACGCCAATGTTGACTATTATTTTTTGAGAGATGTTGGGACGATTATTTATACAGATAGAAATTGCTAAATCAATCTAGAACTAATTCTGGTTCACCTACTACAGCCTGCATTACATTATATTTCAGAACAAGGTGTCTCCTACTACATCTTGCATTACATTATATTTTAGAACAAGGTAGTCAGAAAACGACAAAGTTGATGAGTTCTTGTTGGGTTCAAATTGAACCAATTGGCTGCAAATTAGATCAATCTGCAAATTAGATCTGGAGGTTTAGTTGTTGTTTTCGTCTTGGCGAAGAGCGAGTAAGTAGTAGAGAGAATGGCTGAGGCAGTTGTTTCCTTTGTGCTCGAAAGTGTAATAGACTTCACCATTCAGGAAGCCAAGTTCTTGTCTGGAGTCAGCCATCTAGTTGAGGTCGCACAAACTGAGCTACAATTGATGCAGGCTTCCTCAAAGATGCAGATGCAAGACAAGGACAAGATGAAACAGTCCGTATTTGGGTTGCCAAGATTAGAGATGCTGCTTATGATTTGGAGGATGTCATCCAAACTTATGGCTTGAAAGTGGTTTCCAAGAAGAGGTGTTCACAGGATTGGGGAAGAAATTGAGAATATCACTACCAAAATTTCGGCGTTGAGATCGAGTTTGCAGAGTTATAACATAAAGGAAATAAGGGACAGGGACAGGGACAGCGGTGGTGGTGAATCTTCCATGCAATTGCTTGAGAGGCAAGGACTACTTAGGCGAAGTTATTCTCATGTTGTTGAACGTGATGTTGTTGGGTTAGAGAACAACGTAGAAGGATTGGTAATGAATTTAGCGAAAGATGAAAATCGTCATCAAGTTGTATCTATTTGGGGGATGGGCGGTTTAGGGAAGACCACCCTTGCAAGACAGCTTTATCATCACAAAAAAGTAAGGCAGCGTTTTCATAGTTTTGCTTGGGTCTGTGTATCTCAATGGTGTCAAGTCAGAAATGTTTGGGAAAGAATTTTAATTGAACTCACTTCTGCTACCAAGGAACCAAAACAAGAAATTAAGGAGATGACAGATGATGAAATAGCAAAGAAGCTTTTTTGTGTCATGGAAGAAATGAGATGTTTGGTGATTCTTGATGACATTTGGAGTATCGAGACATGGAATCTTTTGAAGGTTGCATTTCCAAACGTGGAAACAGAGAGCACAATACTGCTTACTACACGGAATCAAGCAGTAGCTTCGCTCCCAAATATAAATGTTTTTCTCCACAAACTCCAGCCACTCAATGAGAATGAGAGTTGGGAACTACTTGTGAAGAAAGCAATACCTGCAAGGGCTGAAATCGGTATTTTCTCACCCTATCTTCAATCATTGTTGGGATTACTCTTTACAATTTTATAAACTGCCTTACTTGGTCACACATTTGTTAGGTAGCAAGATGGATGGCAATTTATCTTGCGCAACTGCAAATAATAATCAGGACAATTTTAGCTAATTCAAAATCTTTTCCCAGCCTTCACTTCAATCCAACAATATCCCATTCGTTTTTTCTGTTGGTGCAAGGAATATCCAACACAATTTAATTTAATTTATAATTGTTTTCCATTTGGCATGTATTATAAAATCCAAACTTATAACAAGATAAAGAATATTAGTAAATTTTGGGATTTCAGAATTTTAATTTTAAATCATTCGAGCAAGGAATATCCACTATGACTGCTCATACTACAAGTCCGTATTTGATTTTTTTTTTCTTCCTATTTTTCAGACTTGGGAATGTACAGAGACTTAGGAATGAAGATGCTTCGATACTGTGCAGGCTTGCCATTAGCCATTATTGTGCTTGCTGGAGTTCTAGTAAGAAAAAACACAATTAGAGAGTGAGAGAGAGTGCATGAGAATGTTCATGAATACATAAGCAGAGGCATCATACATGAAGAAGAATATGAAGGTGTATCACGAGTGTTGGCATTGAGTTATGATGACCTACCTTATTACTTAAAACCATGTTTTTTATATTTAGGTCAGTACCCCGAAGATTGTATTATTTGAGTAAGCACATTGACTAAGTTATGGGTGGCAGAAGGTCTTATCTCCTTGAGACAACAAAGACATGGTTCGGAGAAAACAATGGAGGATATATCACGTGATTGCTTAAGTGAGTTGGTGGAAAGGTGTTTGGTTCAAGTGGGAACAAGTGGTTCAATTGGGACAATTAAATATTGTCGAATCCATGATCTTGTACGAGACATGTGTTTGTTAAAGGCAGAAAATGAAAGCTTTCTCCAAATTAACTATTTTTTGCAAGAAAATACTTCTTCTGTGGTGGCCAAGGCAGCACAATTGGGGAAAATTCGAAGACTTGCAATTTACTTGGATGAGAAGGCAGATAGGTTGGTTTCTTCAAGAGAAGAAACAAATGAGCACATAAGGTCTCTATTATTCGTTGGCCTAGAAGAATGGATGGCAAAAAATGAAAAAGTATTACTATCTCCGTTGAAGGATTTCAAAATGCTTAGAGTTTTGAAGGTTGAATATCTTAATCAAGTAGAAGTTGAGTTGCCGAGTGAAATTGGACATATGGTACACTTAAGGTTTCTAAGTGTGATGGGTAGCATAATAAAAAGGTTTCCGCCATCCCTAGGTAATTTAGTATGCTTGCAAACTCTTAATTTTCATGTTTGGAGTATCGACATGGTCATCCCAAATGTGATAATGAAGATGAAGCAATTAAGACATTTATATTTACCCTGGGGGTACGGAGCAAAGGGTAGGCTGGAGCTGTCTACTCTTGGCCATCTACAGACCTTAGATTACCTTTCAAGTGAGTATTGTGATTTGAAAGATGTTGGTAGATTAACCAATCTTAGAAAACTGAGTATAAGGATGTCAAGCTCTTTGCAAAATTTGGAGGAAATCTTAAAATCTATAGGTAGCATGCTGAACCGTATCCGGTCTTTATTGGTGTTGGTGGACAACAATAGCTGTGGAGAGCAAGCTATTCAAATAGTATCAAGCTGTCGGCATATATACAAATTAGGAGGAAGCACAACAGACTCTATTCCACCAACATCCAACATCTCCCAGGTACGAGCACCCTTCTCTCCAGCAACCAAGCCCTCCTATGAGCCTCCACCAGCCTCGAACACAAACTCAAATATCCCATCCGCCACCACGGACGGTGGGACAGCAATAGCACAACGAAGAGTAAGAAAATCGTGAAATCCCTAGAAAACCCCAAGCTTGTGCAGCGCGTTCTAACAGACCTCGTGTTTTTTCTTTTTTCATTCATTGTTGGGATAACCCTTTACAATTTTTCATATTGTCACTCATGTACCAATTTTTGGGGAAAAAATACATGTGGCAGTTGCAATTTTATAAACTGCCTTACTTGGTCACACATTTGTTAGCTAGCAGATGATTTATCCCAACCCCTCTCTTCAATCCAAACATATCCCAAACTTTTTTGTGCTGGTCTAGATTTAATTTTGAATGTTTTCCATTCGGCATGTGTTATAAAATCCAAACTTATAATAAGACAAAGGATATTAGTAAATTTTGGAATTTCACAATTTTAATTTTTAATCATTCGAGTAAGGATATGCACGACAATTACTCATACTACAAGAATGTATTTGATTTTTATTTCTTTCTTACTTTTCAGATTTGGGAATTTTCACAAAGAAGAGAGAATTAGGAATGAAAATGCTTCGACACTATGCAGGTTTGCCATTAGCCATTATTGTGCTTACCGGAGTTCTAGCAAGAAAAAACACCATTAGAGAGTGGGAGAGATTGCATGAGAATGTTCATGAATACATAAGGAGAGGGATAGGTCATGAAGAAGAATATGAAGGTGCATCATGGGTTTTGGTATTGAGTTATAAAGACCTACCGTATTACTTAAAACCATGTTTTTTATATTTAGGTCATTATGCTGAAGACTCTGAGTTTGTAGTGGGCGAATTGACTAAGTTATGGGTGGCAGAAGGTCTTATCTCCTTGAGACAACAAGGACATGGTTCGAGGGAAACAATGGAGGATATAGCACGTGATTGCTTAAGTGAGTTAGTGGAAAGGTGTTTGGTTCAAATGGAAACAAGTGGTTCAACTAGGACAATTAAAGGTTGTCGATTCCATGATCTTGTACAACACATGTGTTTGTTAAAGGCAAAAGAGGAAAGCTTTCTCCAGATGAACTATTCTTTGCAAGAAAATACTTCTTCTATGGTAGCCGAGGTAGCACAATTGGGGAAAATTCGAAGACCTGCAATTTACTTGGATGAGAACGCAGATAAGTTGGTTTCATCAAGAGATTAAACAAATGGTCACGTAAGGTCTCTATTATTCTTTGGCCCAAGAGAATGGATTCCAAAAGGTGAAAAAGGATTACTATCTCCGTTGAAGGATTTCAAAGTGCTTAGAGTTTTGAAGGTTGAATGTCTTTATAATGTAGAAGTAGATTTGCCAAGTGAAATTGGAAATATGGTACACTTAAGGTTTCTAAGTGTGAATGATAGCCATATCAAAATGTTTCCCTCATCCCTAGGTAATTTAGTATGTTTCCCCATCCCCCATCAAAATGTTTCAAAATGTGATAATGAAGATGAAACAATTAAGACATTTATATTTACCCTGGAACTACATAGCAAGGGGTAAGCTGAAGCTGTCTACTCTTGGCCATCTACAGACCTTATATAACCTTCAAGTGAGTATTGTGATTTGAAAGATGTTGGTAGATTAACCAATCTTAGAAAACTGAGAATAAGAGTGTCAAGCTCTTTGCAAAATCTGGAGGAAATCTTAAAATCTACAGCCAGCACACTTAATCGTATCCGATCTCTAATTGTGGATAAAAAAATGAATAGCGGTGAAGAGCAAGCTGTGGAAATAGTATCAAGCTGTCGAGGTATATACAAATTGAGGTTGGATGGGTCAATTGCAGAATTACCGAAAGAGCTCCACAACTATCCAAACCTCACCAAGTTACAATTGTATAATTGTGGTCTCAAGGAGGACCAAATGGGAATACTAGAGAAGCTGCCAAACCTAACAACTCTATGCCTTGAAAGTATGGCTTTCCATGAGAATACAAAGATACTAGTTTTCTCCATAAGAGGCTTTCCTTCTCTTGAATTTCTTCATGTTTCTAGAATGGACCAAATAACAGAGCTGAGGGTAGAGGAAAGTCTATTCCTGTCAGTGATGGCAGCCTAATATGAGTGTTCTAGATATATATTAACAGGCTTAAGGATTCCTACGTTGATAAGGATTAAGATTACCTAATCCTATAAGCATTAAGGTTATCTCTAGGAGTTTCTTGATGGGCAAAACTCCTAGAGATATGCATATAAATAGAAGGCTCCTTCTAGAGCCGAGAGACACACAAAAATACCAAGCATTCAAATATTCATCCCATTAAGAATTACTGCTGAAAGAGTTCTCGGCTTCTAGGAGAAAGTCTTTGTTTCACAAGTTCGTTTTGATCTTCATCATATTCAACATGTCTGAAACAGGTTAGTGTTTTACATGTTATACCTATCTAGACTAACATGTGGTATCAAAGCTCAGTTATATCATGTTTTACCTAACCAATCTGAAACATGATGAAATTTTAAACTGAAAGCTGCAAGTTATATAGACAAGAACATGATAACAGTATAAAGAATTGACTTTATCATATTCTTGACAGTTTTTGATCAAGTTTGCAGTTGCCATGGGATAATTGAGCAAGCTAAAGCGGCTCAATCATTCCATGATAGCTATATTCAAAGTAATTGATCCAAAGTGGCATCATAGTTCAGAACATATTGAAAGGCGGGTCCAAAGATGTGAGCAGTTTGATATAGCTTTGATTATGATGGATCGACATGGAATATGCACAGTTATAAAATAGCAGAAGTTCTCCTCTATCCAAAGATGTGGATAACTTTTGTTCAAGGAATTATATAACTGTTTGTATTTCAGTGTCAATGGACGTACTTAAACTTTCTATCCAAAGATGAGAGTTAAGTATGTTTAAGTTAAAGTCTTTTGGGGAAATTATTTAAGGTATTAATGTTTTAAAAACCTGTACAGTCAATCACAATTCAATCCAGACCCTTATTGGCTCCAACTACAAGAAATGGAGAGAAGATCTTGAAATAGCTCTTGGCTTATTGCACTATGAAATGGTTCTAACTGAGGAAGCACCAGCCACACCAGCAGCTGATGCATCTGTCGAAACTAGGACCAAGTTTGCAAAATGGACTAAGGCTAACAAAATGGCAATCTTAATCATGAGGAGATCAATTTCAGAGGAGGTAAAGGGCAGCATCACAGAGTCTGAAAATGCACAGGCATTCATTGAGGCAATAGCAGAGAATTTCCAAAGCTCCAAAAAGGCTTAGATAGGTACACTAATGAGCAAACTCACAGATTTGAAGTATAATGGAGAATGATGCATAAGGACTCACATTCTGAACATGGTCGAAATTGGAAACAAATTGAAAGCTCTGAAAGTTACAGTAGATGAAGCCATGATGGTGCACTTTGCTCTTAACTCCCTGCCTAGCATTTATAGGCATTTGAAAACTAGTTACATTACTCAAAAGGAAATATGGATAGTGGCTGATCTAATAGGAATATGTGTGCAGGAAGAACAAAGCATTAGGAATGATAATGCAAAGGAACATGTGAATCTGGTGCAGGATTTTAAAGGCAAGCCAAAGGAAGGATATAAATCCAAATATGCAAACAAAAAGCAGAAGAATGATGAAACTGCCAAAGGGACAGGTCCAGTAGGTCTGAAATGTTTTTTCTGCAAAAAGTTTGGTCACATGAAGAGGGATTGTAGAAGGTACAAGCGTTGGCTGGACAAGCAAAAGGCTAAAGGTAAGAAAAACTCAGTTTCTGTGGTTTATGAATCAAATTCACTTGAGATTTTATCCAATACATGGTGGTTAGACAGTGGTGCAACATTTCATGTAACAAATTCCTTGCAGGGGTTCAAAACAAAGAGAGTGCCAAACAAGGATGACTTGAAGGTGTTCGTGGGAAATGGAGAAAGAGTTAAAGTAGACTTTATTGGTTTAGTTAATCTAGAGTTGCAATCTGGTTTTTGTTTGGAATTAGATGATGTCGTTTATGTTCCTACTATGACAAGGAACCTTTTATCAGTTAGTAGGCTTGTAAAATCAAACTTACATTTTGAGTTTGATGATTTTGGTTTCTCCATTTCAAGAAATAAAAGAGTTCTTGGTAATGGCATGATTGTTGATGGAATGTTTCGTTTGAATTGCAAACTACCAAAACAAGGCACTAAAATGTTAAATGTAATAAGCACAAAACAGTTAAGCAATTCAGAATCATATACTCTTTGGCACAAGAGACTAGGACATATCTCAGAAGAAAGGATGAATCTCTTAAGCAAGCAATCTATGTTGCCACCACTTGACCACCTGAAAGGGATAAAACATGTATTGAATGTGCAAAAGGAAAGATGACAAACCTCAGAAAGAAAGGAGCTGTAAGGAGTGAAAAATTACTTGAGTTGATACACACTGATATCTGTGGCCCTTTTCCAGTCAACACTCATGATGGCTACAAATTTTTTTTAACCTTTACTGATGACTTTTCCAGATATGGTTATGTGTATTAATAGCAGAAAAATCGAAGGCATTGGACATGTTTAAAATTTACAAAGCAGAGGTTGAGAACCAACTAGATTCTAAATCAAGGTAGTGAGGTCTGATAGAGGTGGAGAGTTCTATGGAAAATTCACTGAGAAAGGTAGAAATCCAGGACCTTTTGCCATTTTCTTGCAACAAGAAGGTATTGTTGCTCAGTACACAAATCCTGGAACACCACAGCAAAATGGTGTTTCAGAGAGACGATACAGAACTTGATAGAGATGGTGAGAAGCATGATGTGTTGCACAACACTACCAATTTTCTTATGGGGTGAAGCTTTGAAGACAGCAAATTATTTGCTTAATAGAACACCTACCAAAGGTGTTGACAAAACCCCCTATGAAATCTGGTGCAATAGAAAACCAAGTTTCAATCACTTGAGAACTTGGGGATGCAGAGCAGAAGCAAAGATCTATAATCCAATGCAAAAGAAGCTTGACTCAAAGACAGTTAGTTGTTATTTTGTGGGATATCCAGATAGGACAAAAGGCTACATATTTTATTGCCCAAATCACACCACCAGATTTGTAGAGACACAAAGGGCTGTTTTCATTGAAGAAGAGAAGGAAGAAACAAATAAAGCAGATTTTGAGTTTGAAGAAATAATAGAAAGCAAAGAAAATGCAGAAGCTGGAAATAAAGAAAAGGGAGTGACTATCTTGACTTTCGACAACTTGAATAAAGAAATCTCACCTGCACATGAAGACTTAAACAATCATCAAAATCCAGAAGTTGAAATACAACAAACTGCAGAAGTTGAAATGCAGTTAAATCTTCCAGAACAACCTCAGACCATAGAATTAAGGAGATCCCAAAGAACTAGAAGACCAGCTCTACCAAATGACTATTTTGTCTATTTGCAAGAATCTGAGTTTGACATCAACGCCATAGAAGATCCTACCACTTATAAACAAGCCATGGAAAGTGAGAAAAATCAACATTGGTTTGCAGCCATGGAGTCTGAACTTGAATCAATGAGCAAGAATGGTGTATGGAGTTTAGTTGAATTACCATCAGGATCTAAACCTATTGGCTGCAAGTGGGTCTACAAAACCAAGAGGAATGCACAAGGGAAAATAGACAGATACAAAGCCAGATTAGTGGCAAAAGGGTTTACACAACAAGAAGGAGTGGATTATAATGAAGCTTTTTCTCCTGTGTCAACAAAAGACTCATTCAGAGTCATCATGGCTTTGGTTGCACATTTTGATCTGCACTTGCATCAAATGGATGTCAAGACAACCTTTCTAAATGGAAATCTAGTTGAAGAGATTTACATGAAACAGCCAGATGGTTTCGTCTTAAAAGGGAGAGAGAATTTAGTATGCAGACTGCAGAAATCAATTTATGGTTTAAAACAGGCTTCAAGACAGTGGTATCTTAAATTTGATGAGATAATAAAATCTCAAGGTTTCATTGACAATCCAGTGGATGAATGCATTTACATGAGGTTCAATGGAAAGGATTTTATTATCCTACTCTTATATGTAGATGACATCCTGTTAGCAAGCAGTAATTTGTCCTTGTTACATGACACCAAGAGAATGTTGTCTACTCATTTTAATATGAGTGATCTAGGAGAAGCCAACTATGTGCTAGGAATCGAAATTAGCAGAGACAGAGACAGAAAGTTGATAGGTTTATCTCAGAAGGCTTATATTGAGAAGATACTTAAGAGGTTTAATATGGAAAATTGCACAGGCTGTGATGTTCCATTCTCAAAAGGTGATAAGCTTAGCAGTGAACAGTCTCCCAAGACTGAACAAGAAAGGATAGAGATGCAGGACAAGCCTTATGCCTCATTAGTAGGAAGCCTCATGTATGCTCAGGTTTGTACTCGACCTGACCTTGCATTTTGTATAAGTGTTCTTGGCAGATTTCAGTCCAATCTAGGCCAGGCACATTGGGTTGCAGGGAAAAAGGTGTTAAGGTACCTACAGAGGACTAAGGAGTATAAACTGGTCTATAGAAGAGTTGAAGAACTGAAGCTAGAAGGCTACACAGATGCTAACTTTGCAGGCTGCTTGATTCAGTTATGTTAAAGTTTTGAAGTTTTTTATTACTTGCGTATACTGTTTCATTAAATGGCAAATAGATTAAGGCCAAACTGTAACTGTGCTAGCAATTGTTCACAGTTTGAATCTATGAATCAGTCATTAATTGATTTTGTTCTAAAGACCTTGGCAGTCATTAAGGGTGAGCTAAACCAGTTATGATTGATTACACTTGACAGTATAATCATAACGGTTTCAATCTTAATCCAGTTAGAAGCCTTATGTGTTTTTGTTAGTTCATATATGTGATTGTAAAAGTCTTAGATGTTATATATCTAAGGAGCTTCGAAAGTCCCTTGTGAACTGTCAATCATGACAGTGGCTTGATAAAGGAATAAAGATAAGAGTAGATTTTCACATGGCCATTAAGTGATGACAATGAGCTTCGATCGATTATTTGATGAAGTGAGAGAATGTAAGATGGTTTACTGTCTTAAACCACAGAAGTGATCTTCTAATCGAATAAGAACTCATGGTTTATCAGAAAGTCTATTCCTATCAGAGATGGCAGCCTAATATAAGTGTTATAGATATATATTAACAGGCTTAAGGATTCCTATGTTGATAAGGATTAAGATTACCTAATCCTATAAGAATTAAGGTTATCTCTTTAGGAGTTTCTTGATGGCAAAACTCCTAGAGATATGCATATAAATAGAAGGCTCCTTCTAGAGCCAAGAGACACACAAAAATACCAAGCATTCAGATATTTATCCCATTAAGAATTATTGCTGAAAGAGTTCTCGGCTTCTAGGAGAAAGTCTCTGTTTCTCAAGTTCGTTTTGATCTTCATCATATTCAACATGTCTGAAACAGGTTAGTGTTTTACATGTTATACCTATCTAGACTAACAATTATACCTTAGAGGATTTCTAGAAGTCTTATAAATAGGAAGTTTAGGTCATTGTTCAAAGGACCCATCATCCTCCATCCTCGATCACCCATCACCCATCATCCTCCATCCTCCAACATCCTACATATTCATACTCATAGCCGAAATATCCAACGGAGAATACGAAGAAAGCTTGCGCAACCTTGGCATTCTACTTGGAGAATTTGGTGTCTTCCATGTCTTCATCAAGCATCATGATTCTCAATAAGTCATTCATGAACTAATTTCTTTTACTAGGGTTACGATGTAGCCTAGCTATGAATACTCAAATTCTTTGATATTGTTAATTTTATTTATCTATACATGTTGAGTGCTTGTTACTGTTCTTAATGCTTTCAATTAATTGGTCACTAATTGCTTAATTGGAAGAATTAGGTTGAGACCAAAAGGAGATTCCTAGTAAATAGCTTCTTGTAACAAGTATCATAAATTACATAGCCGACTCGGAAGACTAGGTTATGGTTTGTGTAATCTTTGTTAAAATCCTTAATGAAACAATGATAGAACCCGGCATGACCAAGGAAACTTCGGACTCCCTTCACGGAGGTAGGTGGTGGCAAATTGGCAATAGTATCAATCTTGGCTTTGTCAACCTCAATCCCTTTGGCTGAAATCTTGTGCCCAGGACTATTCCTTCTTTTACCATAAAATGGCATTTTTCCCAATTCAAAACCAAATTAGTTTCTTCACAACGTTGTCGAACCAAGGCTAAATTTGAGAGACAAGAATCGAATGATGACCCAAAAACAGAGAAATCATCCATAAATACTTCAATAAAGCGCTCCACCATATCAGAGAATATACTCATCATGCAACGTTGAAAAGTAGCGGGGGCATTGCACAAACCGAATGGCATTCTTCTATAGGAAAAGGTACCAAAGGGGCATGCGAATGTCGTCTTTTCTTGGTCTTCTGGCGCTATGGGGATTTGATTGTATCCCGAATAGCCATCTAGAAAACAATAATAGGGATGAACCAAACTTTCTTTTAGTGGATCTTTTGGGTAGTCTGCCATGAATTGTGGTCGAACAACATGATCTACTGCTTCTAAACGGAAACAATACTCCGAATCAATGGGATACTTGGTTGCATAAAAAACTTTGAATTCCACCTTTTGATCAGCATCTCGTAGGATCAAAGAACCTTTTTCTACGTCAATTATCATTCTTCCCGTAATGAGAAATGGGTGGCCTAAAATAATTGAAGTGTCGACATCTTCTTCCATATCCAAAACTATGAAATCAGCTGGGAATATGAATTTATCCACATTCACTAGTACATCTTCAAGAATGCTGTGAGGATATGTAAGTGATCTATCTGCCATCTGCAAGGAAATATTAGTTTTCTTAATTTCCCCCAAACCAATTCTTTTAGCTACAGACAAAAGCATTAAATTAATACTAGAACCTAAATCACACAATGCTCTTTGAAAAGAAATAGTGCCAATGGTGCAAGGTATAGAAGACCTCCCTGGATCCTTTCGCTTAGGTGGTAGTTGACTTTGTATTACCGCGCTACACTCCTCCGTCAATTCCACCATCTCTGTATCTTCCAAACGTCTCTTTTTGCTTAAGATGTCCTTGATGAACTTTCCATAATTCGGCATTTGGTCTAGTGCTTCACCAAATGGAATGGTAATTTGCAATTTCCTAACAATTTCAAGAAATTTGGAGAACTATGCATCCTTCTTATGTTTCTTCAAGCGTTGTGGAAAAGGAATTGGCAGAACGTAGGATTTTGGAGTGAGATTTTTGAATGGTGGTTGCTCAGATTTTGCTGAATTTCTGGTGGAGCTCACGACGGTATGTAGGCTATTGTCTTTAGTTTTTTCCGTTTCTTTCAACTGTTGGTGGTGCTTTTTTGCGTCCAAATCTACAGCGGTTTTGATGGGTCTCCCATTTCGAAATGTGATTGCCTTCACATGTTCTTGAATTTTTGGATTAATCTCGGTTTGGCTTGGCAATACTCCTTGGCTTCTTTCACTCAATATAGTAGCTAGTTGGCCTACTTGCACCTCCAAGTTCCGAATAGAAGCGCTCTGATTCTGAAGTTGGGTTTTGGTTTCAGTCATAAATTGGGTGGTAGACATAGTTAACTGAGTAAGAGCATCTTCAAAGAGGTGGCATGTACCAAGGAAATATGTGCTCAAAGTTCAAGAAAAAGAAAAGAAAAAAAAAAAGATCTATATTCAAAAAGAAAAAAAAAGTGAAGCATATCAAAAATCCTGGACGCCCTTTTAAAGTAAATTTGAAGAGCCAAGCCTTATAACGCGATAAATGCCTTAGTATGTCTTAAGTTCTACTATATGGCTAAAAATAGGGTAAAAATGGTAAGGAAATATTGTGGGTGATGAAATAAAATGCTAAGTGTTTGGCTTCAAAGGGTTGATGGCACACACAATGGGTAGGACATGAGGCTTTATTTAGTGGTTAGAACATGCATAGCCTAACATCATCTTCCAAGGTCCATCCAACTCAAAAGTGAAAGCATACGATTATTCATACAAAAGAGAAATTAGTTCTTAGTATTCAATTCAAAAGTCTAATTGAGATCAATCTAAATAAGAAAGAAAGAAAATAGTGAATAAGAATAATCTCAAATACTCTCTCAATGAATGGAAATTTGGCTCAAGTATCTCACAATGGTAGTCTCCACTATTTCTCCACGATCATCCAAGTATAGCTACCTTGTCCATCAAAATACTTGAAGTATGGCTATGTGAAGTGCTATAATTATGATGCATAAACGTTCATGGCAACACTTTAATTAAAGAAATATGATCAAACATTACATATACATCACTATTAGTAAGAGAAAGTACAGGCTTTAACAAATTTTTATTTTTTCAAAATTTAAAGGAATTTTGTGATTTTGCAAACAAATATGAGTGAATTTATGAGCCCCAATTGCTTAGGAATAAAGAAATTTCATCAAAAGGAAGAGGACACACTTGGAATAGCTCCTAGAAACCTCTGATCGCGAATGGAATGGATCGTAATTGATTTGGAATGAAATCAGAAAATTCTGGAAAATTGACCTTTAGCGACGATATATCTGATGAACACCATCGCTGAAAACCCTTTAGCAACGAAAAATCTGATGAACACCGCCGCTGAAAACCCTTTTGTGACGAAAAATCTTCATATTTCTGGGTAGATAGTAGCTAGCCTTTTTTGGGTTTTAGGCCACTTTTTTAGCTTCAAATCTTCCTAAAACGCCATGTAAACCACTTGAGACCCTCAAACCTGTTTCAAATCATCATAATAACCATTCTAAACATGTTGGTGGCTTCAAATTTACTTGAAAAACATCAAAAAGGAAAATAGGCAAAAAAATTTATTTTGACCAAAATAAGAACATAGTAACCTCTTTTGCTATTTTCTGGGTTTTAAAGTCATCCAATGACCAAAACAACATCTGTAACACATCTGCAACATGTTTGCAATCATCTTGGGGCTAGAAAAATGCAAGAAATGTTCCTTGAAACACAAAATCCTTTCTTTGGAACATAAAATCTGTTTTGTTTTTTTTTGTTTTTTTTTCTTTATGACTCAAAACTCAATTGACAACAAAAATAACAAAATTCCTACACCTCTAAGTTAATGTGGTGAGTAAAAATGCTCCCTAAATGAATTATGTTGTCCACATATATTATAACACGTTAGTTAACAAATTATACAGATGATTATATTTTAGTATCACGCTATAATCTCTCTATGGATTGATTGTATTTGCATGGTTATGTACGCTCATACCATTCAAAATATTGGTCGTATAACGTCTATAATGATAATGGTCTCATCTCCACAAATATTTTGTGAGACCAAAATTAATTTGAAATAAAACCATGTCCTACTTAAAAATTTAAAAAGGAAAAGATTCATGGATAAAAATCGAGGACAAAATCTCATCTCACCCTCTTGAGAACGTGACAAATGTGGACTTTGTACATTCATCACTAACAGAGATAAGATTTGACAACTTGAAATCACTACACCACAGAGTTTGAAGAGGTTTGAGAATTCTAACTCTAGCTTTGCTATGAAGCCTCAAGAGAGATCCGTGCAAAGGAAACTTTTCTATGTTTTCTAGCACATTAATGAAAAGATTCTGTTCCATAGAAAACTCTCACGATATTTCAAATAAACTTTTCTATATTTCACCACACCACAGAGTTTCTATGTTTTCTCTAGCTCCCTAAATAAAGAGCAGTCGAAAGTCGTTTGAAATCATAAAATTTTATTTATTAGCTATTGTCATTACGTACGTGGCAAAATAAGGGTCTGTTTGATAACTATTTTCATTTTAGTTTTCATTTTTTGTGATACAATACAAAAGAAAATGAGAGTGAGAGTAAGAAGAAAATGAGAGTGAGAGTAAGAATAGGAGTAAGGATGAGATTGAGAGGTGATGATGGGAGGGATGAGTAACAAAAGTGAAAACAATTTCAAGTAGGTTTTAGTTTTTAGTTTTTGTTTTCACTTTACTCCTTACTCTCATCCGCTCCTCTTATCTTCCTTCTCTCAATCTCATCTTTACTCTCATTCTCACTTCCATTCTCTTCTTCTTTTTTGTCCCTCTATACTCTAGCACAAAAAATGAAAAATAGAAACTAAAAATTTAGGGGGGTGTATTCAATTGAGATTTTAATAGATTGTAATTATATTATTTTAATGTAATAGATTTCAACATGATTTTTCTTATGGTTTTAATAGATTGTAATTACAAGATTTTACTTATGATTTTAATTTATGTAGGACTTTCTTGTATTCTCCAAAATAGATTTCACCAAAGTGTGGATTGGATTTGGGTTAGCCATCTTTCATCCATTAGTTAAAGGATGCCAAGCCTTTAAAGATGCAGAAAGTTGAAGTTACACCAATCTTAGCTCAAGTTATCATTACTATCTGTCATGTATGGCTTTCTTCTAATCATCATGTTCTAGAGCTAAAATCATAGCGGTCCCAAACTTCAAACATAACTATCATTAAACTAAAACCATACAGCTATTAAGTTTTGGATAGAGAAGTTGGTCTGGAACTGAGAATTGAGTAGGAACAAGCTACAAGAAGGAAAAATCTTGAATTAATTGAATTTATAATATTACAACAGACAAGATAATTGAATCAATTCAATAAGAAACTGGATAGCTGAAAACAAGTCAAAATGGTCCAGCTATGACATGATACTAGTATAGAACACTTGTCACTCAAATTAATTCCACAAATTGACTAAAGAAAGACAAATAAATCAAACGAAATAAACGAGCTGAAAATAGATTTCACCAAAGTGTGGATTGGATTCGGGTTAGCCATCTTTCATCCATTAGTTAAAGGATGCCAAGCCTTTAAAGATGCAGAAAGTTGAAGTTACACCAATTTTAGCTCAAGTTATCATTACTATCTGTCATGTATGGCTTTCTTCAAATCATCATGTTCTAGAGCTAAAACCATAGCGGTCCCAAACTTCAAACATAACTATCATTAAACTAAAACCATACAGCCATTAAGTTTTGGATAGAGAAGTTGGTTTGGAACTGAGAATTGAGTAGGAACAAGCTACAAGAAGGAAAAATCTTGAATTAATTGAATTTATAAATATTACAACAGACAAGATAATTGAATCAATTCAATAAGAAACTGGATAGCTGAAAACAAGTCAAAATGGTCTAGCTATGACATGATACTAGTATAGAACACTTGTCACTCAAATTAATTACACAAATTGACTAAAGAAAGACAAACAAATCAAATGAAATAAACGAGCTGAAAATCTATTGAGAAAAATGCATGCATATTGCATAATATGAACAACTATTGAAAGCAACGGACATGAAATTATTGTTTAGATATATGAAGGTAAGCCATCTGACTCTCCTTTTTTATAGGGTAAAATAGTCTCCATGGAGGAAAGCAAATGTTCTGGAAAATTTTAGAGCAAATAAATTTTATTTCCCCCCTCCCTCCCTCCTCTCCCCCCACATACGCATCCAAGTCCATCTAGGGAGTATTACATTTCGTTGCTTTTCTTTTCTTTTCGTTTTTGTCTTTTTAGATACTGTGTGTTGATGTGTGTGCCATTTGGAGGAAGTTGTGGTCACTCTTTGGATGCTGAATGAGTTTGGTCTCAACGTTTCCTGGTAGGATATTATTGTTACTGCTTTGTGGGTTTACACCTCCCTTCTACCTGACGACCTTTAGGCTTTAATTACAAATGCAATATATCGCTTTTTTATAAAATATAAAAATAAAAAGTTTCAATTTTTTGGTTAGTTATTAGAGCGACTCCAGCGGTATGCCTGAGCCTCGGGCTGGGCTTGCTTTTTCGAAAAAATCGTTTCTAGCGGTGAGCTGAAGCCCAGGCTGGCTGCGGGTCCCACGAACTCGGGCTAGCCCGAAGGCAAGTTCAGCCCGAGGTCCAAAACGCGGGCGCTGACGTCATGCGTGCTACAATGACCACACGTGCTACAGTGCCGCTAAAGTCCACATGTCGCGCTCTGGGCTCTCCGATCAGATTTTTTTCTCCAATCCAATGGCAGCCAATTTTTGTGCAATAAAAAAATAAATAAATAATCAAGTTTTTTTAAAAAAAATACTGATTTTTTTT